GAGTGATGTTGATTACTGCGGTGTGTATTTAAGTGTGTGTTAGTGTATCTTTCCGAGTCCGGTCATTGATGTTGTTTTGTGCTCCTAAGTGTCTCTCTTCAGAATATGTTCCCCCGATTCCCCGGCTCCTGTGCCTGCTTCCCTGCCTCGTGACAAGACAAGTATGGATTTTACATCATATTTCATTCATTTTTTTCCACTCAGTCATTGATACTGGGTACAGACTGAAGCTTGATTTTAATAGTACACTGGTCTGCCATATATACATACATAGTAACCAAACATGGAAATGTATCAGTCTTTACAAATGATTTAACAGATGATTCACTGGTTACTGAACAATCTCTGTGCAATTGCAGGAGGAATTTTTTCATATCATTTCCCACTGGCAGATGTGCAATTCGATGAAAGTTGAAGTAAAAAAAAAAATGTATCTGGCACGCCATTTTCATATTTATATTTGCATGTTCACCGAGCCGCAAGTCTCACTTTGAGATCAGAGGCACCTTGAATTTTAAACATTTACACAGTGACAGGAAACCAAAATTCAACCATATACAGCTACATATTACTGGTTATTTTTATACAGTCTTTTTTATAAGGCTACATTAGCTACATATTACCGCTAATATACAAACTCGTTTAAAGCAGTCTTTTTTTTAAGGCCTTAATAGAATATATTAAGCAAAACAAGCAAGGTTTTAAGCAAAATAATTCTTTTTGGGCAAATGTTGATGCAGGAAAAAGACATACAGTAGCTATTAATCTGTTACTGACTGCATGTATGAAAGTATGCAAAGCTACAGACCAAACTCAAATTACATCAGAGCTGACATTAATAACAGTGATTAGGAGGCAAACAAACGACAACATGCCTCAGATGAAGAGATCAATAGGCAGGATGTAGCGTGAAGCAGAGAGAGTCACCATGTCGTGCCTTAACCCGTCCTGATCTGGAGAGGCCGTCCTTCAGAAAGCAGCGTTTTTATGCTGTATTCTATTATTTTAAATTGCATTCTATTTTTTATTGATTTATCCTGGATTAGGGGCAATTAAGGGTTGGAGGGTGAGGTTTATATGAAAGGAATCCCGCAAACTCCACTCACACATGCAGGTCATTGTAAGATTTGGTTTATAATACATACAGGTGTTGCAGATAAAGCGTAAAACAGGAATTTATTACCCCATGAGCAATATAGGAAATCTGCATTGTTAACGAATTTACATTTACATTTTTCCACATCGGTTTTCGCTCATGGACTAATAAATGTACTTTAGTACAGTGTNCAATATAGGAAATCTGCATTGTTAACGAATTTACATTTACATTTTTCCACATCGGTTTTCGCTCATGGACTAATAAATGTACTTTAGTACAGTGTTTCTCAATCCTGCTCCTGGAGCAACACCTGCTTAGTGAGGTCAGGCTGGACTGGAAGCTTCCTGGCAGATGGTAATTAAGGAGCAGGACTGAGAACCACCGCTCTAGTACAGTGACAGTTCCTCGCCGTTGGAATGTACAGCCCTGCTGCTGCGGTGCTGAATGTCTACAGAACCGGCCTGGCAGAACCACAGCTTTTTCAGTAGCTTCTTCAGGTGGCTCCTGAACTTCACTCCCACAAAGACGTAAAAGACGGGATTTAAGCAGCAGTGGGAGAAGGCGACGAGTCGGCAAACGTAGAAGGCAAAATCAATGCCTTTGCTGACCGGGCACTCTGTGAAGGGCCAAATGCCCCCAATATCCGAGAGCGATTTCAAAAAAATTAGAACGTTGTAGGGAGCCCACCCCAGGAAAAACACAACTGCAATCGTAAAAATGAGTTTCACTGTTCTGTACCTTGTATGCGATCTTGACCGAAGTAATGTCCCGAGTATTTTAACATAACAGAAGGTAATCACACACAATGCAATTAGGAAGAGAAAATTTTGTTGGTATGTTCCACCTATTTTCCATCGTTTATCAGTATATTCACAATACTGTACTCCACCAAATCTTTGCACTTTATGCATCACAAGAGCTGGTACTGCAGCTAAGCAACTCACAATCCAGACGGCGGAAGAAGTGATAGAACCGTAACAAAGCCGCTTTGACCCCAGGTCCGACAGCGGGTGGACCACGGCCAGGTACCGATGGATGGTCATTATGGTCAGGAAAATGATGCTGCTGTAGAACCCAGCATAGAAAAGAAAACTTACAGCCTTGCAGGCTTCATCTCCAAAGGTCCAGCCGTGGATGTGGTATAAAGCCCAGAAGGGCAGTCCAAACGTGAACAGCAAGTCAGACAGAGCCAGGTTTAGGATGAAGATGTTGGTGAGTGATTTCAGGTTTTCATACTTTGTCAGAATGACCAAAACAAGACTGTTCCCAAAAAGGCTCAGTAATGTGACAATCCACAAAAAAACCGGTGTTACGACTGCTCCAAACTTGATAATGTCTGACTTGTCGCACAGTTGATTATCTAAAGGATTTTCATAATAATCAGAATAATCATCCGAGTAAGTAGAGTTATAGTCTTCAGTATATGGAGCAGGGGATCCAGAATCCATCCCTGTAAACTGATTGACAACCACTGACAATGACCATCACTGAACCTTCATGTATTGGGAAAATGCAAACTTTTCAGTAATATTGCTCTTATACAAATATGCTTATGAAAAGAAAATTTAATTAATACAGTAGTAATCAATTAGTAATTCTCAGCGAAGAATCTGTGCCGTTCATTCGCATAATTAGAAATTAAATTGTCTCCTACCTTTTCATAAGTTGAATGGGACAGAATTGTTTTTTGCTTGCTGAACATCCATGTATTATGCGAGATTAATAGGAACCAGGTTTTGAAAAAAGGAACAAATCCGCTAAATAACAATTGATCGCATTGTAGTACCTATGAAACTAAGCTGGTGGGATGCATCAGGCACAGGGGGCTGGTACAGTAATGACCCCATTTATTTGTTCAATTTCTGTGTTATTACTTTCACGTCCACTTTTTTCTCCTCCTGCTGAAATTATTTTATCTCTTCCCTGCTGTTTTGTTAATCCTGAATTCATTTATGTTTATTTAGCAAAGTGAGGAAAGTATGGGTTCAGAGGGCAGGTTGACTCGCTGTCTGGCATTCAAGCATAGTAACTGCTTGAGATAAAACGTGTCACAATTCATTAATGATTAATTAACATGAGATCAGTATGTAACTAAGACTTAGTTTGTGATTAATACATAAATAATGGCATAATATATTATTTCTGCCCCATCAGGTAAAGTGCTACTGTTAATTCTCCCCATTCTCTTTGTCATATGGCTATGTTCACCTCCCTTCATAAAGCAAGTCTTACAAATAAGTACATATAACAAATTAACATTAATAATCTACCTGTGAAACTAGATATATGTGTATTCGTGCATATGAGCAGGGAAGTAGATCAGTCGCATTTATAGATCCCAGTTGTGTCTCCCATAATGAGGCTGCAATCCTTTGGGTTGCATGTCGCATGGCTGAAATGTGACACAGACACAACCAAGTATGCAGTTTTTTGTTTGGAAGTGAACCTGTCAAGACAAGCTTGATAGTTCTGCATCCTTTTAAAGAAAGTTGCGTATATAAACTTAGCCGCTAAGTAACTTTATTCATAATATTTTAATTAGCCATATTTTATATAAGAAATCGCTATTTTTCTACAAACCTGTTACAGTATTTTAAATATATGAGTATATTTTTGTCTATACAGCACTTACAAATAAACAGGCCTCTTGCTTATTCTTCATAATGTGGTCTGACCTATATCACAAAAAAACAACAAAAAAAATTGCTATACATGAAAGCAGAAGTGAGGTATGCATCTAAGTTTCAAACTACTAGAATTCCGCATGAAAATGTATTCTCGGTAGTACTTGTATGGAGGAAATTACGGCGCTCATCTAATTAAATTAAGACTCTTTTTTCTTTGAAGTACTTTAACGTTAAAAGAGAGACTTAGATAAATAACTATTCAACCCAATCTTTATTCAGTGCAAATGTCGTTTTTGAGTCTATATCACATGCATGAATGTCACGCCATATGACAGCCGATAATCAATTCGCATCAATTTTCATAGGTTGAATTTCTTTCAGGTTTATCTAATTACAGTCGCATTTGCATGGTAATTGGCAGAACAACGCAGCAGTGAATCGCGATCCAGACTAACCAATAAAATGATCGTTCACTATCCCATGACGGTTCACTCACTCTTGTTGATCTTGTCTGAGGGATAACACGCTGTAGCTATTCTGTAATTTTTTTTCCTTCTAAAAATGTCTGGAGGTGTTAAGAGAAAACTGGACAATCAGTCAATAGAGAAAAAGTATGAAATCATATTGCAGTTAGAAAAAGGAACGAAACCGGCAGACCTTAGTCGTCAGCATGGCATTCCAGCGAACACCATTTCAGGATGGAAAAAGAAGGCTGACGTGATAAAGCAAATGTACGAGAAGTTTGTCTTTGGTCCAGAAAGAAAAAAAAAACTTAGAGTGGCTGTGCACAAAGGTGTCGACGATGCAGCGTTTCAATGGTTCACAAATACGCGATCGACAAACTTTCACGTCAATGGTCCCGTGCTGATGAAGAAGGCGGACATCCTTGCTGCAAAGCTAGGACACCCTGACTTTAAAGCAAGTCAGGGGTGGCTGGATCTTTCAAAAAGAGGCACAACATTGTCCTCAAAGCAATTTGTGGAGCAAGAGCTGCGGTTCAACAGAAGCAGGTGGATTCATGGCTGAAGACTCAAATGCGCAGACTTTTGAAAACCTATGACACTCGGAACATTTTTAATGCCGATGAAACTGGGGTGTTTCGGAAATGCCTTCCTGACAAGGCTATGGAGTTTCGTGGGGAGGCTTGTCATGGTGGAAAGAAGTCCAAGGACCGACTTACAGTGCTAGTTGCCGCTAACATGGATGAAAGCCAAATGCTCTACGTCAGGGTTTCTCAACCCGGTCCTCGGGGACCACCAGACGGTCCATGTTTTTGCTCTCTCCCAATTCCCTGCCAATTGGGAGAGAGCAAAAACGTGGACCGTCTGGTGGTCCCCGAGGACTGGGTTGAGAAACCTTGCTCTACGTTATAGGAAAGTCCAAGATTCCCAGATGCTTTAAGCAGACCAAAGTTCTCCCATGCGATTACGATGGCCAGCCAAGAGCCTGGATCACAGGAGATCTATTCAGTGCATGGGTGAAAAAGTGGGACAGGAAGTTCCAAGCAGAAAAAAGGAAGGTGGCACTAATCGTGGACAACTGTAGAGCTCATCCGGATGTTCCCGGTCTCAAGGCCATTACGATCTTTTACCTCACACCTAACACAACGACTAAGCTCCAACCAATGGACCAGGGGATAATCCAAGACCTTAAGGCGTACCACAGGAAAAGGTTGATGCGCCAATACCTGCTCCATGATGAAAAGAAGACGCAGTACACCCCTTCCCTTCTAGATGCAATGAACTTCCTGAGATCAGCCTGGAATGACGTGAAGAAGGAAACAATCTCGAACTTTTTTGTGAGCGATCTTTGTGTTTTCAATTTTGGAGAATATAATTAAAGGTTTGTATCGAGAAACGACGGTGGTTTTTATTGTATACTAGTAAATCTCTGCTGTTAGTTGGTGCACATATGCCTTTTGTTGTTAGCCAACATGTAAATTTTTATAGCATGTCGATCGCGTCAAACAAACCGCAGCAATGCGATGAATAATCAGAGTGTTGGTGACTTTTATGCACTATGCACTCGGCAACCCCACTCTGTTGCTTTGTGTGGTCTCCCACTTTGTGGCGGAGTTTCT